AATTCCACAACTAACATATTAGTTATTGGTTAAAGATTGAATGTACGCTTCTAAGATCAAGTCACAGCAGTCTGCTCTCATTCCTATTTAGCGGAAGTTCTAATCAATTAAAAATAGAACAAGGAAGTAAATACAGACAAAAAGAATAGGGACTGGAGTTCCATCTGGAAGGCTGGAGCACAAGCTTTGCATGTGGGTTCCCAGGTTCAGTCCCCAGTACAGTGTGATTTCCTGAGCACCACAGGGAGACGACCTCCCTTCCCAACCACCACCACCACACAGAGGTGGGAGTAGCCCCTTGAGCACTACTAGGTGTGGCCCAAAACTCAAAAGAAAGAAAAATGAAGATGGGCTGAGAGCAGGAGGAAACCTTAGATCATTGGTGAGGGGTTGAAGCTGGTGGTAGGTTTGGAGTTGGAATATTGAATTATTGGAGCTCTGTTATTAACAGCTTTTTTCAATCACAGAGCAGTGCCAAAAATAATAATAATAATAATAATAATAATAGCAATATAAAAGGAAAAATGCATCCCTTTTTTCATGGTTTAATTAGAAAATCCTAAGGAATCTTTCTCTAAGTTCAGCAAGACTATAGGCTACAAGATAAATACACAAAATTCTATATTTCTATACACAAGAAATGAACACAGACACCCAAATTAAAACCAAAATGTCATAAAAAATCACTTAGTTAAAAATACTTGGGTATAAAATGATAAATTTGTGCAGGACATATGGTGAAAACTACAAAATGCTGATGAAAGACAGAGAAGATAGAAGCAAACATAGACATTATCATGTTCATGGATTAGAAGACTCAGTTTAGTAAACATGCAAAGCTCCCTATTGCATATGCAAGCTTAATAAAATTTTTATCAAATCCCAGCAAGTATTCTTTTGTAATATGGATAAGATTATCTGAATTTACGTAGAAAGCAAAGGAACTGGGATAATTAAAACATTTTGGTAAAAGAAGGATAAAGTAGAGGAATCAACGTACCAAATTTCGCAAGACTTATTGTGCAACTACAGAAAGAGGCATGTAGCTCAATGGAGAAAATTCAGAACTGAGAAATTAAATCACATAAATATGCCCAGCCAATCTTTTGACAAAGGTGCAAATGTGATTTTGTAGAAGAAAGTTTCCTCAATAAATGGTATGTGGGCTGGACAGATATCATTGAGGCTTGTGTTGCATGCAGCCAACCCCAGTTCAATCCCCAGTACCATATAAGGTCACCTGAACACCTGGTGAAGTGATCCTTGGGCACAGATTTTGAAATAATCACTGGGTACTGAGTTATCCAAAAACCAAATAAATAAATGGTGCTAGAGTGCACAAATATCAAACAAAATATCACTAAATCAAAAAGACAGTCTACTGAATAGGAAAAAATATTTGCATACCACATATTGCCAGAAATTTAATATCAAAGATAAAGAAAAAGGGCCAGGGAACATAGGCTTTGCATGCGTCACTCCCCAGTTGGATCCCTAGTATCACATGGTCTACTGAGCACCACCAGAAGTAATGCCAGAGCACAGAGCTAGGGATAGCTCCTAAGTATTTACAGGTTGTGGCAAAAACAAGAAGAGAAGGAGGAATGAGAGGGGAGAAGGAAGAGGAGGAAGAGAAAGCGGAGGAGGAGGAGAAGGAGGAGGAGGAGGAGGACGAGGAGGACGAGGACGAGGAGGACGAGGAGGACGAGGAGAAGGACGAGGAGGAGGAGGACGAGGAGGACGAGGAGAAGGACGAGGAGGAGGAGGAGGAGGAAGATTAGTAGGAGGACCAGGAGAATAAGGAGGAGGACAAGGAAGAAAGAAAGAGAAGGAAAAAAATAAAGTCGCAAAGCTCAACAACAGAAAACTCAAACTCCATTAAACTGCCGAACAAACATTTTTCCAAAGAAAACACACAGATGTGCCAAAAGACACATGAAAAATTGCTCTTTATCACAGATTATGAGAAAAAATGCAAATCAAAATGAGATATTACTGATGGAAAACAGGCACATGAGAAATTGCTCCATATCTCTGATTATCAGATAAATGCAAAGCAAAATACCAGAGAGATATTACCTCTCACCAGTGAGAATGGCCTGGATCCAAAAGGCCAGCAATGTTATGTTCTGGCGGGACTGTGGAGCAGGAGTTCTGGCTCACTGCTGGTGATGAGAAAAACTGGGTTAGCCTCTATGGAAAACAGTGTAAAAAACGAAAAATAGAACCACCTGATGACCCAACAATTCCACACCAAGGAGTCTGTCCAAATAACACAAAACACTAATTTGAAAGTAAATATGAAGTTCTAGGTTCATTACATAGAATAACCCAACAACAGATGCTGGATAAAGAAGATGGGGTCTATATGTACACAGTGAAGTGCTACTAGGTTAATAGAAGAAATAAAATCTCAATTTTTGCTGCAACAACATGGATGGCGCTGGTGAAGAGGGTCATGCTAAGTGTATATAAGTCAGAAGGAGAAAGCCAAATACTAGATAATTTATGGAGCATTCCTATGTGGTATATAAAGAAACAAAACAGTACAACAGAAACTTTTTGATGAAAACAAACCCCAATCTCTGATCACAGAACTGATATATCAAGATGGGAGGAGAATAGCCAGAAAGGGTCCTAAGGACTGTCTTGGGGGGAACATTGGCACTTCATGGTGGGTGTAATACAGTAACACTGTGCCCCTAAAGCATGGACATTTATGTTCTTCAATTAAAATTTTTTTAAAAAATAATTTGAAGCATGCACAAATAAATGCTGCTGGGACAATTCAGCATCATAAGGGGAAGGAGGGCAAGGGAGAGAGACAGAGTCAGAAAAACAGAGAGTGTGAGGGAGAGGAGGATTTTTATAATAGAGAAGAATCACATCAATCTCTAATAGACATCTAAACAGATCTCTGCTGAGCAAAGGATAGCATATAGAGATTTTTTCCTTTTCCTTGAGTAGCAGAAATACCTAGATCCTGTCTAACCAGGCTGGTTTGGTCCAACAGTCCTGCAAAACTGACAATTAAAAAAATGCAGAGTAATAAGGAAAAAACCCAGAGAGCTCTGAAATGGATCCACACAAAATATGCTCAGAGGATCAGATTCCAAAGGTGCCAGTGGAATACAGTGGAAGAGCTTTGCCTCTTCCACTGGGGATGCTAGAGAGATTCAAAAAAGGAAAAAAATTCTCCCATGAAAAAGAGAAACTCCCAGAAAAAAAGAGGAAGAAAAACATTGGCCTCTATTTCAGATGTCATACTCCATTGCTGCTTTTACCTGGTACAAGTGTCTGAAAGAGATCTCAGTGGGAGAAATGGGATGAGAAACTGTCTTGTGAGCTGCAGTCTTTGAGTGAGAACAGCAACCTGGAATCAATTCATTCTCTGGGAGCTCTGAGGCCCTCGCTGGCAGTTCAACTGGAGAAGAAACCGCCTTCTTGTGAATCCCAAACCATCGAAACAAGACTAGCTAGCCAAAGGGTTGTGTCTGAGGTTTGGGTTCTTAGCCCAAAGTGGTGGAAAACATCTGACTTCTGCCTTTCCAGGCTGCATCAGCTCTGTGAAGCAAATCTTGGTGGATAATTGCAACTCTATCTTTATTCAAGAGGAAAGCATGCAGCTAACCAAATGCCTTGGCCTTTATCATTTTCCCCCTCAAAGGAGAGGGTTCGGAGAGATAGTACATGTGTAAAGGTGCTTGCCTTGCATGTAGTCCATCCGTCTCCAGCACCTCATGGTCCCCCAAAGCATCACTGAGTGTGGCTCAAAGTATGCCTCTGCCCACCAAAAAAAAAACATTACTAAAGTGATTCCAGTAGAGGCAATCACCCTTATTGTTTGTTTGTTGTTGTATTTGATTAGGGGATCACACCTGGCTGTGCTCAGGGTTTACTCCTGGTTCTGTGTTCAGAGATCACTCCCGGTGGGTTCAGGGACTATACAGAGTGCTGGGGATTGAACCCAAGCATGCAAGGCAAGCATACTACCCACTGCCCACTGTGCTGTTTTGCAGCGCCTGGGGCACACACAGGGGAGCAGGTGCTCTACTGCTGAGTCACATCCTGGCCCAAAAGCAGCATTTTTTTAACTTTTGGGGTCACATCCAGCGATGCTCACGGGTTATTCCTGGCCCTGCACTCAGGAATTACTCCCGGCAGTGCTTGGGGGACCATATGGGATGCCAAGGATTGAACCCAGGTCGGCCACGTGCAAGGCAAACGTCCTACCTGCTGTGCTATCGCTCCGGCCCCAAGAGCAGCATTTTGAGCAAGTCTAGGTTAGACTCCTATCCTTTCACTCTTATCTTCCACACACCCTATACAATTACACTACTGGGCCTCTCTACTGGCTGGCACTGCTTTCCAAAGGTGCTTGCGGGTTCCACACTGTGCAGATTAAGTCAGGGTAAACTTGCATGTTATGGCGCAAACTACACAGATTCCCAAGTTTTATCATATGCAAAAAATGATCTTTGATATTGCTATATTACAATATAGCAATCAAACTCAAACTCATGGCCTCACACATGCAAAGCAAGTACTCTATGGCTGAACTACAGCTACAATCCCTGTACCAAATGTTTTAGTCAAGCAATTACTGTAAAATTGCAGAAGATTGAATAAACCAGAAAAATTTACTCTATATACATGTACCCAGTATCTTATTTTTCAATGGCTTAGGTTGTGTTCAGGATAGTGTATTACCTGAAAAGAACATAATTAATAAACATATAAAGTCTGTTTATATATTTTTCATCAAATGCTACTGTTGTTATTACTATTATTATTATGGGTTTTGTGGGGGAGTACACCCACCCAGCAGTGCTTGGGGACTGCTCCCGGTGAGGTGTCAGGGGTCACTCCCAGAAGTGCTTAGAGATGGAATGCAATGGCAGGGGTTGAACTCACATGTAAAACATGTGACCCAGCCCTTTGAGGTATGTTCCCAGATTCCACTGAACATTTATACAAGTTGTTGATATGTCTCCTCACAGGATGCACGCCGCTGATGCATGCAGTTTCGGGACGTCAAGTGGACACAGTCAAGTTGCTGTTGAAGATGGGGGCCAACATTAACATGCAGGACGCTTATGGGCGCACTAGTCTATGCCTGGCGACCTATCTGGTATGGTCTGTGTCTCTCACAGGTGCTAAAGAGTAGGGTGAGCTTAATGGGCCATGATAGGAGTCCCACTTACAGAAGAGTTTTCTTGAGTTTATGCTTCCTACCAATGGATCTAGTATGTGAAGTTTTGGTTCAATCATCATGTATGGCCTAGCTGACTTCTATGAATAGGGGTCCTTTTGGATCTACTTTAGCATCCTTTAAGACACACATGATACCATCATTATGAAATACCCTTTTTCATCCCTGCTGCATTAAAATTTTCCTGGGAGGGGGGCGCATGTCTGAACACATTTATTGCTTTTACTGAGCTGAAACAATAACACAGCGGGTAGGTTGTTTTTCTTTGCATGCGGCCAACCCGGGTTCGATTCCTCCATCCCCCTCAGAGAACCCAGCAAGCATGGCAGATCCTGGCAAGCTCCCCGTGGAGTATTCAATATGTCAAAAACAGTAACAACAAGTCTCACAATGGAGATGTTACTGGTGCCGCTTGAGCAAATTGATGAACAACAGGAGGACAGTGCTACTGAGAGCACCACTCAGTATTCCTGACTGGGTAGCTACTCTTATAGCTACAGCTGACCAAAATGGAATAGGGGGCAGAGAGATATTGCAGGGGATAAGGTGCTTCCATTGCATGTGGCTGATCCCAGTTCAATCTTTGACACCATATGATTCTCTGAGCAGCATCAGGAGTGCTCCTGAACTAGAAGTACCTTCTGAGGAGAACTGGGCATAGACCTCTATTAAATAATTAAATATGCATATTAAATAATTTAAGATGTATATGTAGAGTAGGAGTAAGTGTGTAGAAGAAACTGGAAAATGAGAATGTTGGAATGCTGAGAACCACGATGAGTAGAGTGTAGGGAGTCAGGGAGAAATCTGTTTCTTAAGGGGCAACACCAATCATAGGACTCAACCCACAATCAGCACTCAGTTGAAAAGTTGCGTTTTTTTTTTAACCTGTTCTCATCATAAGAGATTTCAGCATTTACCAGAATTGGTAACAAGCTTGGTTAAACCCTACTGAAAGTCTTACAGCCCTCTCTTGTCAAATCCTCATGCATTCCTTCTGGGAGATCCCATGGGTACCTGAAGTCTGTGTGAAATTAATCTTGTCTTCAACTTGAGAATCGCCATTCTTCTCCCATAGGGCTCCTGGAAAACTGGGCTATACCATAGCCACTGTTACTGCAACTCTTGCTTTTGCTGTTGCCACCCAATAAGACCAGTGGATTAGCCCCGAGTCAGCTCCAAGGTATCCTGAAGCTGCCGTGCTGGAGTCGCACTCTTCCATTCCTGCCACAAGCTGGCACACTCTTCGACACAGTCTTGTCCAAAGCTCCTGGAGACCTTCTGCCCCCACACTCCCAGCTCTCATATGCAAAGCATGTACTCCAACCCTTTGAACTAAGAAATTTTCTTTAGAAGCGACTTTTTCATTTTTCTATTTGTGTGTTCTATTTTTTGGAGCCTCACCCATGAACTTGAGAGAAATTCTTCAGTCTTGGAGTGCTTGTTTCAATTACAGCATCCTGGAGTGTGCCCTAGTCCTACTGATTCAGACAGAGAAGTAGGGCTGGAGGATGAGCTAATAGATGGGGGTAGGGAGGTGTGTGTGTGTGTGTGTGTGTGTGTGTGTGTGTGTGTGTTTAAAAAGCCTCCCAGGAACTTTATATTTCCTTAAACATACACAGGTCTGCATGTACTGGCTAAAATCTAGTATCTCCACAAGAAGGTAGAGGTGGTTTGTAAAGTTACCTACTATTAGCATACAGAATAGAATAAAACTAAGTTTCCTTCAAAACTCTAAATTTCAGGGATAGGGGAGTTAGTACAGAAGGTAAGGTGCTTGCCTTGCAAGTGGCTGACCCCATTTCATTTCCTATTATCTGGTCACCAGAGCCCCATCAGGAGTTTGCCTTGAGAACCACTGGTGTGACACAGAACCCCAAAATAAAAATAAATAAATTTTAAAATTACAAATTTGGAGGACCCAGTGACTCCTCACAGGACTGTGAAGAAGTCACTGCAATGTGTAGAGGTCTGGAAAGACCCCTCTGCAGATCTTTTTGAGGATGATACAAAGGGTGTCCTAGGCAAGTGTCAGTGTTTCCCTCTTAGCTCTGCCCCCTGCCTCAGTGTGGCCTCCATGCATGCCCCTGGGAAGGCAGGGGAGGGAGTGTCCCATGAAACCCACCACATAGTTCTGGCAATGTTTAAAGTCAAGAATTTAAGAAAAACTTGACAAAAGGGCACTTAGAAATGACCTCTGAGTCACAGCTTCCAGGCAGTAAATCAGCATGGATGTGTGACCTCAAACCCAACACTCCATTTCCTCATGACTTGATAAAAAAAAATCTTTTTTCAGTGGAACTATACAAAATCCCAGTGAAAACCTGAGTCCAGAGGCAGCTGAGGGTCAGGTCCAGGCACATCTCAGTGGCAAACCCAGACTGATTGTGTCTGCGCACCAGAATTAACCTCAAGCCCTGGAACAGGACTCCATGCTCCCTCTGGAGACAGCAAGAGACACTGTCTGTGAAGCCCATGAGCACAGCAGACCTGAGTTGTGCGCTCACCAGCCCCTCATTGCTTTCTCAGGCAACTCAATTCTCACCTGCTGCTTCCTGGGTGCAGTTTCCTTGAGTACAGCAGACCTCCCAAATAAGCCTTTGTTGTAAACTGGGACTCAGCCTTTCCATTTCCGACCTCATTTGCTATTGGTAGCATGCATAAAAATAATCCCTGAACTATTGCCATTGGTTGAGGAGCACATGAACAATTGATGAGCTCATAGTAGGGACAGGACAGGTTTGTAGATTCTCAGTCATGGTCATGGATTTGCCATGTTTGCAATGGTTGTCTACTTTTCTTTTTATGAAGAAAAAAAGAAAACCACACAGCACACAAAGTTCCAGGAAACGTTGCAAAATGATCAAAAAATGTTTAAAACCCTCACCCATCAGAAGATTTGTTTTTCAGAAAATGTAAGTCTTTGGCAACTCTAAAATGTGTCCTTCATGACTTTTGGAGGAGACCTCCTGCTCATATTTTTTCCCTTTAAACCAAAGAACTAAACTACTTAAACATTAGATGAAAAAACCTGATTAAATACCTTAGTAAACTGTGATTCAGGAATAAAAATATTTGCTTTATTATGACTCAGATGTTGTTCTGCTCCAGAAAATCATTGCAATTATAATTGTATCTCTGAATCTTCTTATACTTTTCTTTAAAGTTTTCCTTCCTAGGTTTTCAGAACCAAGACATCTTTTCTTTCCTTTCTTTCTTCCTTCATTCAATTTACCCTCCTTGCCTCCCTCCTTCCTTCCTTCCCTCCCTCCCCTCCTTCCTCCCTTCCTTCCTTCCTTCCTTCCTTCCTTCCCTCCCTCCCTCCCTCCCTTCCTTCCTTCCCTCCCTCCCTCCCTCCCTCCCACCCTCCTTCCTTCCTTCCTTCTTTCCTCCCTCCCTCCTTCCTTCCTTCCTTCTTTCCTCCCTCCCTCCTTCCTTCCTTCCTTCTCTCCCTCCCTCCCTTCCTTCCTGCCTTCCTGCCTTCCTTCCTTTCTTCCATGCTTAGGGCTTACTCCTGGTTCTGTGCTCAGGAATCACTCCTGACAGGGCTCAGAAGATGTAAGTGGGGCCAGGAATTAAACCTGAGTTGGCCACATTAAGGCAAGCACCTTAATCACTGCATTATCTCTCCAGTTCCCAAAAGGCTCTTTTCTTAAGAAAATAATCTTCTTTTTGATTTTTATTGCTTCTAACATTGGGGAAAAATCTTAAGTCACTAACTCATGTTAGTGTGAAATCTGAGGCTTTATACCTCAGGAATGGAGAATGACAGGAAAAGAACAGAGAACTAACATATTACACTCCTTACGAAAGGGGATATGGGGAAGAGAATCAAAAGTGTAGAACAATGAAGTATAGTGGAATCAAGAGGCCAGACCAGGTCTACCAAATGTTTGAAACTGGGCCATGACCTTCAGGTCAGACAGTTGGTAAGATCTGTAGTTCAGTCCACACAATGAGTGGACTGGTAAATCATAGCTGGTTAATCATTCCCTATCCCACACCACATTTGACCCTATGAACTGAACGTAAAAGTGAACAGCCTAAGAATTGGGAGGGAGAACTGGAGAGAAAGTTTAGTAAGTAAAGTGAGACCAACACAGGTTTGATCCCCACCACCACATATGCTCTCCTGATCATTGCCAGAAGTGATCCCTGAGCATAGGGCCAGGAATAAGCTCTCAACATTAACTGGGCGTAGCCCCAAACCAAACAACAAAAAGATTGACACTATTTCTTGGAGCTGGAGAGATGACACAGAGGGTCACATGCTTGCCCTGAAGGTAGCCAACCCCAGCCCCCACCAGGAATAGTCCCTGAGCACAGAGCCAGGAGGAAACCCTGAGAACCATCTTGTGCGGCACCCCCCTACTACCAAAAAAAAAAAAAAAGATAAATGGGGAAGGGAATGGTGGGAGAGAAAATCTAGGAGTCAGTTTGCCTCTGCCAAAGTAAGAGTCCTCCAGAAGATCAGGAATCCAGACCTCAAGACATCTAGCCTTCTGAGAAGTGCCTAAGGAGCAATCGTGGTCTTTAACAAGTCAAATGTGACATATGTTTTAGCCAAACCAAGAAGCAAGGTTAAGTAGGCTGGAGAAAGTGTTGAACTCTGTGGTTATATGAGACTGTGTTACATAATGACATGGTTGCTCTTGTATTTCAGGGTTGGTTGGAAGGCTGTGTGAGTCTGCTCAGAAATGGAGCCAAACACAATATCCCAGACAAAAATGGCCGCCTGCCTCTCCACGCTGCTACTGCTGAGCCCGATGTGAGGTAAATTCCCACAGTGCTCACTGTGTGTTAGTACATAATCTCATTCAACTCTTGGGGGCTAATAAAAACAAAATATACTTTCTTTATAAATCTTAGAAGACAGAACCACAATGTGTGTTAAACTTGAATTTTAAACTCAAATTTTGCTCCCTTCCTCCCTTGATACAATCCTTGTTTTGTAGTGTCTGATTTTAGAAGAAATGCCATTTGCCATTATCAGAATTCTTGTGTTTATTTATTGAGCCAGTCGGCTATTACTTCAGTACTTTTGAGTGTTTATTATGAATTAGGCATTGTTCTAGGTTCTCCTCATATCTCCACAGAATGTCTCACTTCACAGAGCTTATATTTTAGCCTGGGAATTCAAGGACACAAGAGTAAAAATGTAAAGAGGACACTTTCAAGTCATGACAAATGCTACAAAGAAAAGAGCAATGACTAGACAGAAGGTTCATTCCTGACCTCAGAGACCTGCCAAATTTTTGGTTGGAAGGAGGCAAAGGATCCGGGAAAGGAGACTGAGAATCTGAGACCAGTGACTTAGAGGAAACCCCCCAGAGTATGTACTTCTGGAAACCTTGTGAAGAAATCTACCAAATGAATTGGAGGATAGAGACGGTCACATTTTTATAAGACAAATGCAAAACATTTTCCCCAGACCAAGTGTAACTTCCTGAATCTGTGTATAGATGGCCTAGGTCTCCATGCTTTATAAATAACCTAGGTCTCCGTGACTGACCCCTCAGAGCAGCTGATAAAAGCATTTCCCACTGTGAAATCAGCAACATTCTGGGTGCTTCGTTAATCTCTGCTGCACAGAACTTGCCTCTGCTAGGAACCTTGCCCTCCTCTGAGTAATGTCACGTAAGCCTACAGAACACACAGCACACCAGGTGCTTTCTGGGGGGTCTCATCTTCCATCTCTGTGTTCAGAACTAAACTAAAGCTTCAAGGGGAGTGAGGAGACAAGATCTCTTCCTGGATAACGAGGGAAAAAAATCCACTTCATTCTGGTTTACACTAACATAAAAGGGCTTGGGAAATTCCAGAACTACTCCAGATCAAGGTTTGCCACTTATCACTGGATTTTATCCAAGAGTAATAGAAAACTAGATTTACCCAAAGCCTGAAAAAAAAACAAGGAAGTTTAGGGGGTGGAGAAGAAATAGCTCAAATAGCTGGAGCATATACTTTGTGAGAGAACCAGGTTCAATCCCTTGAGCACAGAGCCAGGAGTAGCCCCCACTATTGTTTGTCTGACCCAAAAGTCCCTCAAAAGCAAAACCACTGGGAGAACAATAGCAAGCCTAAAGTACTTGATAAAATCATTCTGTTTTTCTCAAATGTGTCCCTTTTTATTATGTTTTTGTTGATGTAGCATTGCTTTCCAAGTGTGTAAATATTTATATGTTTTTTAAGCTAACATGTTTATAGGGGCACAATTACCATACCCTACCCATCACCAAAGTGACAGTATCCCTAGGCTACAATCCTAGGATCCTTCCGGGCCACTTCCCTCCATCTTCCACCAATCACCACACCTAAGTTCTGTGATCAATCTAAGGATTTGTTTTCACTGAAAATTGTTCTCTTTCTTTCTTTCTTTCTTTCTTTCTTTCTTTCTTTCTTTCTTTCTTTAATTTTTATTAGTGAGACTCTTGCTTTCTTTCTTAATGTGTCACATATGAGTGAGATCATCTGGTATTTCTTTCTCCTTCTGACCTATGTGGTTTGGCTCCACCTATTTTGTAGCAAAAGAGTAAGATTTCACTTTTTCTTATAGTACTACTGTATCACTGTCATCCCGTTGTTCATTGATTTCCTCAAGGAGACACCAGTAATGTCTCCATTGTCCTAGCCCTGAGATTTCAGCAAGTGCCACATTGGAGGCCCTTTCAGGGTCAGGGGAATGAGACCCATCATTGTTACTGGGTTTTGGCATGTAGATTACGCCACGGGGAGCTTGCCAGACTCTGCCATGTGGGAAGGACCGTGGCTGGTTCTGGAGGTCTTCAGCTGCCGGGGCTCTGCTCAGAGCGGGGAGGGAAACTCAACCGCCTCCCCCCATCCAAGGGGCCCCAGTGAGGACAGCCAGGCAGGGGGGCTGGAGACTCTGTGTTGTTCTCTTCCTGGAGCTTGGTTTTATAGTCTCTAGGTCTTGGCTGTTAATAAGATTACAATATATTATATTATATTATATTATATTATATTATATTAGCACTGTAGCACTTCCTCCCATTGCTCATCGATTTGCTCGAGCAGGCACCAGTAATTTCTCACAACAAATTGTGAGACTTGTTGTCACTGTTTTTGGCATATCAAATACGTCACGGGGAGCTTGCCAGGTTTTGCCGTGCAGGCAAGATACTCTCAGTAGCTTGCTGGGCTCTCCAAGAGGGGTGGAGGAATTGAACCTGGGTCTGCCACGCGTGCAAGGCAAATGCCCTACCCACTGTGCTATCTCTCCAGACCATTATATTATACTATATAGTTATAAATATATCTTTTTGAATTAGTATTTTTGTGTTCTTTGGCTGCATTCCTAGGAGTGTAATTGCTGAATCATGTAGTCATTTTGTTTTATTTTATTTTTGGACCACATGCCAGCAGTGCCCAGGGTTCACTCCTGAGCGTGGGAGACCATATGGATGCTGAGGCTCGAACCAGAGTCAGTTGCATGCAAGGCACGCAACTTACCCACTGTATTATCTCTCTAGCCCTATTTTAAATTCTTGGAAAATGCCATACTGTTTTCCATAGAGGCTCACCCAGTTTATATCACCACCAACAGTAAATGAGGTTTATTTTTCTTCAAATTTTAGCCAGCACTTATTTTTCACCTGTTTGATGTAGCTTGAATTCTCACTGTTGTGGGGTATAATATCTTATTATTTTGATTTGCATATCCTTGACAATCAGTGAAAATGAGCTTTTTTTTGTTTATGTGCCTGTGGGCCATCTGTATGTCTTCTTTGGAGAAGGATCTATTCCTCTTTTTTCCCATTTTTTGATGGGATTACTTATTATTTTGTTACTGAATTTTATGAATTCTATATGTGTTTTGGATATTAGCCCTTTGTCAACAAGATGTAAAGGATTGCACCATGCACATACTTTCTCCCATTTATTCAATAGTCTTTTTGTTTTATTTTATTTTTTATTTTTATTTATTTATTGAATCACTGTGGGAAAAGTTACAAAGCTTTCAGGTTTAAGTCTCAGTCATGCAATCATCAAACACATTTTCCTTCACCAGTACTTATTTTTCACCACCAAGAACCCCAATAAACAGCCCCTCCCAACCCTCCCAATGCCTGTGAGGCAGATGAATTCTAGTTAACACTCTCTGTACTTTGATTAGATTCATTGTTTAGACAAAAGATGCACCATTATTATTTAGAGTTTATACACCAAGACCAGACCTGCTGAAAAGGCATTGTGAAATAATTTGTTTTCTACAGCTGGTTACAAGAACCAAATGATGCTGCACAGCTGCGATAGCACCTGGGCGATTTTGGATTTCTGATATTTTACTTATTAAGCCTGAAAGTATTTCTGCCAAGAGTCAGATAATTATAAGATTGGTTTCTGTGGCTCTGGAGCCATGGCAGTGCCGGAGAGCCGCTCGTGGGGGGCAACTCCTGACCTCGGTAGGGCGTGAAGGATGAGCCGGGAACGCCCCCCTTCCCATGAGTTTTCTGTTGCCCCATCACGACCGACTCATACCTGGCTTTCCTAAAAGCTCCAAGGCGTCCACCATCTTGCTGTCCAGAGGAAGAAAGGCGGAAGGGAGCAACACCCTTTCCCTTCTGGGTAGGCAGGTGGCGTGGATTAACGCATAGTCCATTCACTTTTCTGCCTCAAGCTGCTGGGCTCTGCATTAAGTCCTTTTGCTTCTGGATTCATGGCTGAGCTGGAGAGCCACTCGTGGGGGGCAACTCATGACCTCGGTAGGGCGTGAAGGACAAGCCAGGAACGCCCCCCTTCCCCTGAGGTTTCAGTTGCCCTGTCACGACCGGCTCATATCTGGCTTTCCAAAAGCTCCGAGGCGGTCGCCATCTTGCTGTCCAGAGGGAGAAAGAGTCTTTTTGTTTTACTGAGTTATTTTGTTATGCAGAAGTTTACAATTTGATGTAATTCCATTTGCTTATGTTTGTTGTTTGTTTGTTTTTGGTCATTGGAGTCAAATCAACAATGATACATAAAGTCAATATCATGGAGTATTTTACTTGCTTTCTTTGATATGCTTTATTTTATGGATTTATATCCAACATCTAAACTTTATCCATTTTGAGTTAACTTTTGTGGACAGTGTGAAATAGTGATCCAGTTTCATTTTTAGTTTCATTACATGTAGTCATGCTGTTTTCCCGGCACCATTTATTGAAGGACTCCCCTCTCTCCATCTTATGCTTTTGACAGCTTTATTTTAAATTAACTGTCTATATATATAAATGTTTATTTCTGAACTCTCAGTTCTACTTCATTTATCTAAGGGTCTGCTTTCATTCCTATATTACACTGTTTTGAATACTACAGCTTTATTGCATAGCTGATAGCCAGGAAACACTATGCCTACCATTTTCTATTTTCTCAAAATTATTTTGGGGAATTTTTGTTCTATACAAATTTTAGGAATATATTTTCTACACCCTTGAAAAATGCCCATTAAATTTTTATAAAGTTGTTATTAAATCTATATTATGTTTTGGTAAGAAGGTCATTTAACAATTTTAATTCTTTTAATCTATGAACATGGAGTATTTTTAATTACTATGTGATTTGTCTTTTTAAATAATGGACTACAGTTATTATGTTTAAGTGTTTCACCTCCTAAGTTTATTTCTATGTTCTTGATTCTTTTTGATGCAATTATAACTAGAATTATTTTCTTTTTTAATTTCTCTTCTAGCTCATTATTTGTATGTAGAAATGCAATAGATTTTTGCATGTCAATTTTGCAGCCTGTCACTTTATGATGTTGATTTACAGTATTGAAT